CCTACCTACTAACCTCATCCTGCCCCCTTGACCTGTCCGTCCTCCCTGGACTGACCTATCCCCTCCCTAACTCCCCACCTACACTCACCTTTACTGGCTCCATCCCCGCCTCTTCGACCTGTTTGTTTCCTCTCCACCTATCTTCTCCTCTATCCATCTTCTATCCGCCTCCCCCTCTCTCCCTATTTATTTCAGAACCCCCTTCCCCTCCCCCATTTCTGATGAAGGGTCTAGGTCCGAAACGTCAGCCTTTCTGCTCCTCTGATGCTGCTTGGCCTGCTGTGTTCATCCAGCTCTGCACCTTGTTGTCTCGGATTCTCCAGCATCTGCAGTTCCTACTATCTATGAATAAAGACTTACACGTAGCACAGAAATTCACATCACACAAAGAATTTGTCGTATATGTCCAGATAGACCATAGATGCCTGTTGAGTCTTTTATAGCAATACTAAAACACATCATCATCTCCAAACTTCCCTTCCCTCTCCAAGGTTCTTGAAAACGCAGTCACCTCCCAAATCCATGAAGTCCAGATTTGAGTTCTCCAATCAGATTTCTACCCCAGTTAAGAGGGTTCCTATCAAAGTCACTAAAAGCATGGGTGTGGGATTGTGAGGAAGGTCAGGTATTTCTCCTTCCACCATTGTAACCCGACTGCTGCCCCTGACATGATGTCGTCCACATCATCTCCTCCAACACCTCACCAATGTTGTTCAGCCAGGTGGGCTTCTCCCTCACCCTCAGCCGTCTCCCTCACCCACAGCCATCTCCCTCATCCACAGCCATCTCCCTCACCCTCAGCCGTCTCCCTCACCCATAGCCGTCTCCCTCACCCACAGTCGTCTCCCTCACCCACAGCCGTCTCCCTCACCCACAGCCGTCTCCCTCACCCTTAGCCGTCTCCCTCACTCACAGCCATCTCCCTCACCCACAGCCGTCTCCCTCACCCTCAGCCGTCTCCCTCACCCTCAGCCGTCTGTATTACCACACAAAGTCAGCAAGTGCAGGTCCCTCTACAACACACTTCCAGAGAATGACCTATCAATTTGGAAAATCCCACATACAGATGGCAAATCAACGCTGGACAAAACAATGAGTGATCAGAATACTCACAATTTAGAAAATCCTCCTTGGTCATGCCTGTCCTTGCATTGGCTGTACAAAAGTAAACAGAGGCCAAAATGAATGAAGATGTAAATTCCATTCTTGCCTCTTTAATCAGATCTATATTTACAAGGCTAAATTCCCTATTCTGGAATTGCTTCCCTAAACCTGTCCACCTCTCTACCTTTAAGATTCTCCTTGCACTTTCAGCAAACTTTAGCCCATCTGATCTCAGAGCCACGTTTGCTTTATAACGCTCCTGTGAAGCTTCTAAGGATGTTAGATCACAATAAAAGCTTTGTATAATTAATAGGTGCTGTTGATGTAGAATGATGACAAGGTCATTCCATGCCAAATCTCTGGCCAACATTTGATGGTTAAAAGCGAAAATACTGTCTCCTAGGAACAAGTACGGTCTGCAGCAGAGGTACAGTTCACACACCAAGATCCAAGTTAGTTTATATAGATTCGCAGCTGTGGATGCGCTTGGGTATGTTTTAGCCTTCTGCCCATGGTGATAAGTGGGGAGAGCGGGTGGGTGTATGTGTGCGTGTGTGTGTATGTACATGACAGGAATGCAGGATGTTGTGGGAAAGCCATGCTAGCTCCCTGGCCTGATAAAATCAATAAATAGAAATCCCTCTTCAACACAATGGTAAATCAGCATTGGACAAAATCATGTGCTGTCGGAATACTCACAATATGGCAAAACTTTCTTGATCCTGACTTTCTTTGGATTGTCTGTACAAAGTAAATAGTGAACAAAATGAATAAAGATGTAAACTTAACTTCCACAACTCTTCTCAAAGAGTCACACTGATTTACTTTATTTACCACCTTAATAACGACAGAGAAGTGGGCAGATATATCCTTTAACCAAATACTCCCGGAGTTTAGTTCACTCCCAGATAGAAATATTCCCCTGGCCTGATCTGCTCAGGCTCAGAATTGGATCTTCCTGGGACCAGTAACTAAGTGGGCATCAGCTTAGTGATCTGGCACAGTGCCTCGAAAGAATGACCATCTCTGAAAATAAACCCAGGCCATTCAGGCCCTCAGAAAAGTGCTGTGATTAGGGGGTAAGGGCTGGGGTGATGGCCCAAAAGGAGGACTGCAGGGGAACTGACCACATTCATGAGGGTTCCAAGTGTATTTCAAATCTATGTAAATACAGTTACCATTTTATCCCCACCTGGAAAACATTGTACAAATAGACCCAACATTCAGACTGATAATACAGTGCTAGGCCCCTCAATTAGTCAATGGTTGGATTTGAATACCCTTCGTAGGTGGCTACCCCAGGTGCCAAAAAATGTGGCCCACTTCCATTGAGGGTGCAGACTTGGTAACCTCACAGTTTGGTTTCTATCAGATTGCTCATGCGCTAGATCATAACAGCTGCACATTTTGTGATTAGGTCATGCTGTTTCCAGCATCAAGTGTCAGATCCTAGAGGTTAGTTACGTGAAACTATCAACAAACTCCAACATCACATTGTCAATGCAATGGTGGGATGGTAACATTGTGGACTCATGACACTCATCTTCCTAATGCTGTGGTCAAACCAAACTCATCAGACACACGAGGGAGTCTGTGCATTTGCTGCTGGAACTCTCATTGAGCACCTTGCTGAAAAAGTAAAAATGTGTGACTGACTAATTGAGATCTCTGAAATCACTAACCAATATTTTGATTGTCTTGGATTTGCTTGCGAAATGATATCACATGCTGTTTAGTCAATGCAGCAAGATCGTTGACAGCGACTTTGACACAAGCCATTGTGGACTGTGCATCTATTTTTTGTTTGAATTGTGGGAACTCTAAAGGCTGTACACTTGCTTTGAAACAATTGGATTCCTATCGAGGAGTAAAGCACAATGGATTACTTAACAATCTGAAAGTATAATCCGCCATTGGCTAAACTTTGATTTGAGAATTTTACAAAGTGCCTGCACTGTTTTTCTCTCTCTTTTTTTCACAGGAACTGCACCACACTAGTTCATCCTGAATGCCCTGAGGACATTGATTCACCCACCTAATGTGGACCTGGGCTCATGGATAGAACCTGGTTAGGTAGGGCTTGCAGGCAACTCTATCCTAAAGTTAATTAATGAACTGCGAGATATACCAAGGGTACAAGAGAATTAAAAATGAGACATTTTGAGTTAAAATTGTTTTTTTCTGGTGGCTTCTCTAATTGATTGAGTTGCATACACTGCACAAGACGGAAATTACTATGTCAGACTAAGAGCTGTGTACTGGTATTTAAGCTCCATTTAAGGTATTTCACTCTTAGAGAATATTTCAACACATATGGTTTCAGAAAATACTTGAGGAACCCAACCATTCAGGTCAAACACACAGAATTTTCTTATTCCCATATACCCGTTTAAATTCACAAGGTTTGGGTTACTGGTTTTTGAAAGTATTTGTCTATCATCTTGGACATGGGGATCTGTGAGTCAGGTCATTTCCTGATGTCACATTCGTGACTTCTCGTTTGTCCAGTATTTGGTTTCTGGGTAGTGGGTGGTACCAGGTCACCCACTCCCAAAACAGGTCCAGGATGGCAATGGAGGTCAGCAGGTTAGAAAGCCCATCTGTGTTCACTAGGACATTGGTCATGTCCATGCTTATTAAGCCCTGTAACCTTCACTAAGCTCAAGCCCCTGCTTCCATGATCATCCCCATGCCCACCCACTCAGTATCTACATGCACAGAACCAACGAGTCACATAATAGAACTGGCTGGTTTCTCAAATTCACGTGAGTTAAAAGTTTAGTAGCCATTTAACATTCCCCTTGAATAACCTTTTAATCTTAACCCAAGTAGACACAAACATTGAAAAATTACTTCAAAGAATGTGAGGTATTGCATTTTAGTAAAACAAACAGGCCTAAGGATTATACCATTAATGATAAGCCCTGGGTAGTGCTGTAGAACCAAGAGACCTACAGGTTTGGATACATAATTCTTTGAAGTTTGCATCATATGCCGACAGGGTGTTTCAGAAGGTGTTTAGCTTGCTTGCCTTCTTTGCTCAGACCTTTTGAGTATAGGGGTTGGGATGACATGCTGAGGTTGTACATGACTTTGGTGGTGAGGCCTCTTCTGAGGCACAGTTCTGATTGCCGTGTTGTAGGAAGGATATTCTTAAGCTGGAGAGGGTTCAGAAAAGATTTACCAGGATGTTGCTGACAATGGAGGGTTTGCGTTATAAACAAAGGCTGGATAGATTGGGACTTCTCTCACTGGAGCGTAGGAGGTTAAAGGGTGACCTTGTCGAGGTTTATAAAATCATGCGGGGCGTAGATAAGGTGACTAGAAAAGGTCTTTTCCCATGGGTGGGGGAGTTCAATATTCGTATCCATCTTCAGGTAAAAGCGCCCAGGGGACGTTCCATCTTGGCTTGATTCAGTGGTCCCCAGTAACACAGATGCCAGAGGCACATTTTTAAGGTGAGAGGAGAAAGATTTTAAAAGGACATGAGAGGCAACTTTTTTACTCAGAGAATGGTTCAGGCGTGGAATGAACTTCCAGAGGAAGTGGTGGATGCAGGTACAGTTACAAAATTTAAAAGACATTTGGATCATTATATGAACAGGAAAGTTTTAGCAGGATATGGGCCAAATGCAGGCAAGAGGGACAAGTTCAGTTTGGGATTATGGTCGGCATGGATGAGTTGGACCAAAGGGCCTGTTTCTGTGCTGTATAACTCTATGACTCTATGTTCAGAAAGCTGACAATGGAATAAAGCTGGCACTCCCCTTTGAAAACCTGGTAACCAAAGTCTGCCAGGCCGAGTCCATTCGCCACCCTTGGAGGCCAGCCTACCATTCATAGTGAGGTTGTCTAGCCCCTGCATCATGAAGCAGGCAGAACAAAGGGGCAGATGTCACGAGGGAAGGAAATGTACAACCAGTGAATCAGTCCTAAACTCTGCAGTCCTGTCCCATCAGTCGTGGATAAAACGCAAATATCCCCATTCTCAAGAATGGAGGATACCAGCACGTTATTGCAAATAATAAGACTGAAATATTCGTATCCATCTTCAGGCAAAAGCACCCAGTGGACGTTCCATCTTGGCTTGATTCAGTGGTCCCCAGTAACACAGATGCCAGTCCTCAACAAATCCACATCACTCCATGTGGTGTCAAGAAATGGCTTGGGAACTGTAAAGGTCACAGGTCCTGACAACATTCCCGCAGTAATACTGAAAATTGGTGCTCCAGAACTGGCTACATCACTAGCCAAGCTGTCTCAATATATCCACAATACTACTTTCTACCCAACCATGAGGAAAACCTCACAGATATGCCCTGTACACAAAAAAACAGGACAAATACAGCCGTACCCTATCTTTCGACTCTTGAGCAATAGTAAAGTGACGCAAGGAGCTATCAGATGGCACTTTCACAGCAATAATCCACTCACTGACACTCAGTTTGGCTTCTGCCAGGTCCATTTATCTCCTGAACTTGTTACAGCCTTGGTTCAAACATGGGCAAAAGAGCTAAACTCCAGAGGTGAAATGAGGAAGACTACCATTGACATCAAGGCATCATTCAACAGAATTTAAATAAGAGGAGTAAATAAATCCTAGAGGACCATAGTGAAGCTCTCTCATTAGGAAGAGAGAGGCAACTGGTGGTGAGTTTAATCTGAGGGTCACCACACCACGGGTGAGGTTAAGACACTAGCACCTTCATGGTAACCTCAGTTGGTGCAGGAATTAAACCCACGCTGTTGGCATCACTCTTCATTGTCAACGTACTGCCCAGTTAACTGTCCCCCAATTCAACAGGACATAGCATGAAGGAAAGGGAGCAAAACTAGAGTCTATGGGTAACTAGGGGAAACCTCTCCTTTGGCTGGAAACATTATCAGCCCAAGCAAAGATGTTTGTGGTTTTTGGAAGTCAACCATCTCAAATCCAGGACATTTCTGCAGGAATTGCTCAGGACAGTGCCCAACGCCCAACCATCTTCAGCAGCTTCATCAATGCATTGCCTGGCTGCATTGACGAGGTGGGCCCAAAGCGGCCTCACGGCAGCAGCAGATTCGGGTTTGGGCTGGTGCAGTAGTCATTGGCATCGGAGATGCCCGCATTGGTGAGATCCATCGAGGACTCATCATGGTGAGAGCGTCGGTGGAGGCAAGATGTTGCTGAAAATTGGCGACTTCCGTTCCAGCGGCGGTGGCACGGCAGAGGGGATTCGTACCTGGCTACTAGGCCCACGGCCAATGGCAGAGCACTTAACAAGAAAGACTGTAATGTTGGGCACTTTCTTTATCTCTTCATTTTTCTGCCTTTATATTCTATGGTTTGGTTTCTTGTTCTGTGGTTTAAAATGGCGCTGGGGAGTGGCAACGCTATACAACACTTTTCACAGTATCGTGTAACAACATACACATGACAATAAATAAATCAAATTGAATCAATGACCTTGCCTCTGCCTTAGGGTCAGAAATGCGTATGTTCACCAATAATTGCATAATGTTCAGCACCATTTGCAACTCCTCAGAAACTGAAACAGTCCATGTTGAAAGGCAGCAAGACCTGGACAATATCCAGGTATGGGCTAACAAGTGTAAGCTATATTTATACTACATAATGATCTTCTCCAACAAGAGAGTGTCTAACTATCTGCCCTTGACATTTAATGGCCTTACCATCTATGAATCAACCAACACCAGCATTCTGGGGTCTTACAGTTGACCAGAAATTGAATTGGACCTCTGTCGTCTAAGTACTGTGTCTGTGAGGCAGGTTAAAGGTTGGCAATTCTACAGCAAGTAGCTGACCTTCCTTCTCCCTAAATTGTTTCCAGCCATGAAAGACATAAGTCAGGACAGTGATGGAAAGCTTCCGAAGGATTCTAGGTAATCCAAGATAGAGGATGGGAGAAACTTGTGGCTGTTAAGAGCTGCCCCTTTTCGGAGGTTTTTTCTCAGTGTTGGAGCTGATTTCCTCAAATCCTTGGAACAGTAATTAATGATTTATAAGCTGTTGCATTGCTTTGGAACTTGGGGGAAGAAAGATCAATAATAACTTAAAACAAGAGGGGGAGCAGGTACCACATGGAGGTGAGATAAAGACGGAGCAGTGACGTTTCACAGTGGGCTGCGAGTGCTGTTTAGTTACAGGTATCTCTGGATGTGGGAGTTTGTTCTAAGAAAAATAAACAGTGAAATTCGCAGCTGACTGGGGAGCTGCTCACAGCAGGGGTACAGCTAAGTGTTTTTCTTAAGTCTAACTGTTCTTTTTTGAAAATCTACAATAGTGAGTCAGGTGATTTTTTTTTTGTTTGCATGTTTTATCGAGATCTGTCTCTAGATTAAACTTTTTTTAAAACATAAAACATAGGTACCAAGTTACCCGAGAGCAATGTTTTGACCGAAGGGTCTTTTTCCATGTCGTACATCTCTATGACTCTAAGCCTCTATTATTTGCCCAGATGACTGCAGATCCAACAACGTTCAAAAAGCTTAATTTCTTCATTCATTCACAAGGTGAGGGCGTCACTGGCTAGGCAGCATTTATTGTCCTTCCCTAATTGCCCAGAGGGTAGTTAAGAGTCAACCACATTGCTGTGCAGATGGAGTCACATATGGGCCAGACCAGGTAAAGATGGCAATTTCCTTCCCTGAAGGGCATTAGTGAACCAGATGGCTTTTTCCGACAATCGGCAATGGGCTCATGGTCATCATTAGACTCTTAATTCCAGATATTTTTTATTAAATTCAAATTCCACCATCTGCCATGGCAGAATTTGAACCCAAGTCCCCAGAACATTGTCTGGGTCTTTGGATTAACAGTCCAGTGAAAATACCACTAGGTTATCACCTCCCCAATG